TGAAACTTCCCACAAACTGATTTCAGAATCTTTAAGAACACGATATCCTGTAAACAAACCAACCTATTCTGAGCGATGACATTAACTCTGTTTTTTTTTGTGTGTGTGTTTATTGTTATGTGATATCTTTGGTTTCATCTTGTGTTGGCGTTAGAGCAAAGGTAAAAACTGTTGTTTGGCTTTTGGGCTTTAATGTCTTCATAATGCTGCTGTGATCAGACCAGTCACTCACTCTTTCTCTCTCTCTCTCTCTCTCTCCCTTTCTCTCTCTCTCTTGCTCGCTCCATCACTGTGAATTGAGCTGCTACATGACAGTGTCATTACCTCCTCCTCTGGCTCTTAAATCAAACACTAAAGTGTGTCAGTGATTACTCACCCTCCTCACCTCTCAACTCTCTTCTCTCCTTCTAGATTCCCTTTGTTTGTTTGTTTTTTATATATATACTCTACGTATATTTTTTGTATTTGTGTTAATGTAGATACTGACAGTTATTGCCTTGAATACAGTAATATAAGTCAGGACTGACAAGCACATCGTGCTGACTCTTCTGATTCATGATTTTTGAAGAAGAGCTCTCTTTGTTAATCAGAACAAAACAAAACAATAATAATCATAATAATAATGATGACCTGTATCACTGCGTGGTTGTTGACCAAAGTGTGCTTTCTTTACCAGTGAATCACTGTCATAATATAATCTTTGTTCTGAAGTTCTGATTTGTTGCCATCACTGTAAAAAAGAAAAGAAGACAGAGAAAGTTTTTGAAGTCATATTTAAGAATGTTGATTAATCTTAATTCATCACAATTAATCATGATTAACCAGGAATAATTCAAAGCTACCCTTTGGTGAATCAGATTGTTTGGAAAACTTCTTTTTTTCTCAGGGCGGCAGCTTTCCAAATGCTAAACAACAAATTTCCCATCATCAACTCTTCCTTTTCCCCTTTATCCCAACGCTGTCTTCCTTCACTGTCCTGACTCCTACACTATACACTGATGTGTGCCTCACATTATCATTGTAGAGAACACACACACACTCCCACACACACACAGCTACGCGGCACAGATGGGTTGCATGGTCTCTCTCCAGCAGATGAATAGGTAAATATTTACCTTCCCAGATTGTCTGTCTTCCACGCTCATCCTTCCCGTCCTCTTCCCGTCGCCTTCCGCTCGAGCCCTCCATGCCACACTCATCTGTCTCTCTTTTGCTCTCGTTTTTCAGGGTCCTTCCGTCCCAGTGGTCTCGTCTTCATCTTATCATGGGGGAGGGGGGGGAGCTCTCAGGCATCCTTTGTGCAAACAGGCCCCACATGCACATCTTTAGAATATATGATGAGGCCAATGGCTGTTGGAGTATAGGAGTGTACCCACACATATGGATGCACCAGGGCCTCAGTAAACAGACAGTTGATAATAATGGTGCCAAAGACAATGGCCTGGTTTATGGAGCTCAGTTCAGCCTATGGAGGCAGATGGGAGACTGACGGAGTCTTATCTCCAGTTTTAATTAAATGACTTAAGTCTCCTGTGAACATATTTTCTCTGTGTACATTCTAATGGTGGCAGCGGTGGCACGTTATGGACAGCAAAGGCAGGGATTTGATCTTATTTGCTTCTGGAAATATTAGGAACAAAGGCACAATATTTGGGATTGTTTTGATTGAAACCTTCAGGTTCAGTCTTGAGACTGGAGGTGGTCCGCAAAACTGGTCCTCATTTTTCATTTGTGTGCGTATTATATTTATGAAAGATTAGTTTGTTTCCCTGTTGAAACATATCATTTTCACATGTTTAATGACATAAACATGACATTTAAAAGATTAATATTTGCAGTTATTCATAATTAATACTAAATCATTAAACGGACACATTTCTATACATAACATTTGAACCTTTCAGAGCTTAAACTCCAATGTCTCATTTTTATTAATAACATCAATGATTATTCTGTTGCTCGTTTTGCCGTATGAAGTTCTCAACATTCCACCTTTTCTAATAATATCTCAAATCAATACTTATCGATAGCAGGCTCCTCCTCAGGCCTGACTCGCCAGATAATGTCTGAATTGATAGAACTCATTTGTCTCTGTCTGTTTATCACACGGTTCACACACTGAACAGACTAATCTTGCTCTGTCAGTCTTTCTAATTAAGTCTCTTTGATAACTCTCTTTTTTTTTCTTTAGTCAAGAAATGTCGTCATATGTTGGAGATGTGCGATCTTTTAACATGAACGTGTCAGGAACTCATTACTCACATGGACTAATGGTGATGAATATTATTATGTAAAAAGTTCAACTATATAATTAACAAGAGACATTTGTGAAGCACTGGTTCTCAACTGATCTCTCAATTACTTGGGAATTACCAGAATTTAGGGAACAATAATTTGATAAAAAAAATAATTTCATAAAATAATCCAGTTATACCTAAAAATAAATAAATTATTATTCATTTTTAAGTCCCATAAGAATAGATAATGTAATGTCTTTTTCACTAAAAGTCTTAATTTCTTAAGAAAACAAACCTGTTATTTACAAAGTGAAACATGGTTTCATACTTTTATTTTTCAAATTTGATCTCATTACCTTATCTGTTTATAGATTTACTGTTACTACAGTTACTACTGTTACTATTTTGCTATATTTTTTCTTTGTCCACTTCTACTTCTTTGTTCTACTTCTTCTACATTCTTGTCTTCTCCCTCTTTTTCTCCTTTGGATCCTCTTTATTCTATTTTTTGTTCTTCCTTTTCTCCTCTCATCCTTCTTCATCTTCTTCTTTGTATTCTACTTCTTCATCCTCTTCTTCCTCCTCTTCGTCTCCCTATCTTTATTCTTCTACTTTTTTTTAATCTTGCTTCTTCTTCTTCTTCTTCTTCTTCTCACTCTTGGCTAAACTCCCTCAAAGACAAGTCACATCCTCCTCCTTTAGTGGTCCGTCTTTACGCCTTACTTTGCACACACTTTAAAGCTGTTTTGTAAAGTTGATGTTTTATTAATGCGAGAATAAAAAGAAGGAGCTGATTACACGCTGTGTCAATCTGCTACCATTTAAAGGCCATAGAAAATTAGCCGTATGAGCCTCAGGCAGATGGGAGAAACTTCTATCTTCTGTGTTTTTTGTTGATATTTCCAACGTTATTTACTTTCCCCCTACTGTCACTTACGCAACGGCTTGGAGGGAATACATTATAGACATTTCATACTATTGTAGACGAGAGCAGTGAATAGCAATGAATGACTTAACCATATTCAACCCTCAAGGATAAAAAAAAAAACTTAAAACAAATTTGCTCACCTACAAAACTCTCTCGCCATCGCAGCAGAACCCTACGTGCCAAAAAACATACACTGCGGCTCCGAGCTTTTATTATGTTGCTTGATTAATTATTGTTGGAGCCCACGGGCTGCACACTGTGTGTGTGTTTACTGACTGAAGTAAGGGATTAAAATGTGCATTTTGAGTTAAATACTCAAAGGGCTTTACTAGCGTGGCTGCAGGCCATCCACAGAGTTAATTTTATTTGCAAATAGGCAATTATTTATTTATTTAACCTATTTAACTATTCCACGCATACATTTTTATTTTTTTTAAATAATGTTTTTTCTTTTTTGTTTATTTGTTTTTCTAAACATCCTTTGGGTTGTGGTCAGGCAGAGCTTCGAGGTCAAGGATGCTCATGCCTGCAGGCCATTGGTTAATATTAATGACTGTCAGCCAATTGGATCTTGTCGATAGGTCAGAGGTTATCATAGGGTTGCAGATGCAGGAAGTTAATGTGATTAAAGATGCATCACGTTGTCGATGGTAGTGAAAGCGTCTCCCCAGTTCCTTCCTCGGAGTCTTGTCTCCTCATTGGTCTGTGGTGCATATTTCTGTCTGTGTTTGCCTCCAGACGTGTTTGTTTGTTTGCCTAGATGGTCATCTGTCATGTTTGATGAATTCTTAGATATTATATCATCACTGCCTGTTGCTGTTTGAGCTGCTCTTCAGCCATGTGTGAAATGTTTTTCAGTTTTTATTCAAAAGACGAAGAAAAAAATTAATGACGCTCCTTTTTTGTTTTCCAATTAATTGTTGTCTATTTATGATGTTGTTCATCAAACCAAACATCTCTGATTTCACTTGCTTTGTGTAGAGTCCTGTAACAAGGCATCGGCAATACAGGTACTATAAAAAGAATTTACATTTAGTTTCATTATTCACACCAGACTCAGGCTCACTTCCCTCTTTCGAAAAAAAAGAGAGAAAAATACATTGTTGTTTTTCTCTTTCTGTTGTCGTCGACAGATACTGAAAGGACAAGACATCATGTTAGAACAAACTCAGTTCATTGTCGTGAAAGGCAACGTGTTCTAAATATTTTACTACTAAAAATCTGTGTTTTCTCTGATGGACATCTGTGATAGTGATCCTAGTGGCGTCAATATAAATAAAATACAAAAAAGCCAATCAATGCATCTATTCCCAAACCCCAGTGGCCACAATTAATACAATGAGCTGGCAGGTCAATAATCAATAGTTAACGATTGGCAGCAGAGGTCGCTAATCAGATTCTGATTGGCTGAATGAGTCATTTGGGAAAGTCTTTGAAGTCCTGGAATGCTCTGATGGTTCACATGGGTTTTTCCGAGGCATCTGTCAACAATGGGAAAATGTCAGTGAATCAAGAGCGACAAGAGTAATCTTAGCACAAAGGAGCTACTGGTAGCTCAAGGTCGGCGGCTGTGACAATGAAATGAAGTGTAGGATGCATGTTGTCTTTTTACTTGTCATGTTTATTATTAGTCGTTCCCCAGAGGCTGCGCTGCAGTGGAGAATACTGTTATCAATGTTCTGCACATTGATTGATTCATGACTAACCAAAGAGAAAATAAATTACACCGGTGGAGCAGGTTGCCATGAGAGCAATGCTAACAAAATAGGTTTTGTTGTCGAGTGGCTTCATGGTCATTTTTCCTCTGTGGTGTTAATGTATTTTTTTTTGTTTAGGGTTCCAGGTATCACCATTGCTACAGACATAATCTGTGGTTTTCCTGGTGAAACGGAGGAAGACTTTCAGGAGACATTAGACCTGGTGAAGTGTTATCGATTTCCCAGTCTCTTCATCAACCAGTTCTACCCTCGACCCGGTACACCAGCCGCCAAGATGGAGCAAGTAGCTGCACATGTGGTGAGTGTGGACAAAAAAACCCCAGATTTTACTGCTAGTCAGCATCAGAAATCCAGCGTCTGTAGAGGGCGACAGTCACATTTACCAGCGAAATGTAACAATACGAATCACACGTTGGATATTGGAAACCGCACTGTGGATTTTGTGTGGATGTGTTCACCCAAACACTCTTCTGTGTGTATTCAAAAGCAGATCATTGGCAGTCTACTGTCATCTTAATATAAAAAAGCTTGTTCCAGTTCTGTCACAATGTCTGCATGTGAAATTTCAGCATTTATACAGTAATCCTCCTGTGGCTCACTGTGTCTGTGTGTGTAAGTGTGGTGGAAATTTCCTATTTATTAAGGCTAACACACTCACACTCACACACAGACGCAGTGTTTATTTAAAGTCATTTTTGTATGGGCTAAAGTGTGAAAAAATCCAAACATGTCACATGATAAAATATCTTTTCTCGCAGCTTGTTTCCAGCTGCAGTGCTATGTGGAGTCAAATCCTGACTTTCATGTTCTGAAAAAAAAAAATAGCTTAGTTACCTCCTGCTATGTGGAGTCAAATCCTGACTTTCTTGTTCTGAAAAAAAGAAAAAAAATAGCTTAGTTACCTCTTCATTATCCTTTATTACTAGCAGCCAAAAAACAAACCTCTCTGTTTTTTCAGTTACTAATTTTGTTCACAGAACGTACCCCAATATCTGCACACGAGATATACTGTAAGTGTTGAAAAAGTAATAATATTTGCTCCAAATTCCAGCTAAGATTATTAAGATTCATAGTCTGTAAATGTCCTGATCTTTAACATTCACTTCAGTTTCAACAACACATTCTTTTCTTTTGCTGTTTCCCTGACAGTTTTTTATTTCATTTTCTCCTCTGACCTTTTTCTCTCTGTTTTGACCTTTCCTGCCCCACACTGTATGTTCTGTCTTTTCTGGCATCTGCACTCCCTCACTCCTTGCCTTCAAAGTGTTGACACGTCTCTTTCAAGTGCAGTGTCTTCATAAGTCATTCTCTTTTTCCCACCTCCCTGCTTCCTGCCTCGGTTCTCTGAGGGGAAGCTGAGTGTGTCTTAGAGGGATCAGTCCCCAGACAACCACATCACTGCTGCGCCTCTTCTTATCTTTTAGCCCCAATCTCCTTTAACTCCTCTTCTTCTGTGTCTCCAACACATTCATTGTCAGCCGCCGTGTTACACTGTATCTAAGATATTTTTTTTCTACATGTAACGTTGTGGTTGTCAGACCCTGGCGTATCCCATCCTCATTCTTTGTCAAAAATCTGTCCATATTTAATCATTTCTTCTTCTTTTTCTAATTTCCACAGTGCTTTTAATGGCTGATATTTTCAGCCAGAGTTTGGAGTTGTTAAGGTTGGAAACACAAATCAATGTTTGCTGGGTAAAAGAAAAGTGAAGAAGTGCATTAAAACCAAGCAGCCTTTTGATGCACTTTAAATAGTTTTTTAACTGCTCAGGGCCATGCTAGATATTTTTTATTCCAGGCTCCTGCAGTCAAACAAATGAACAAAAACAAGTGTTTGGTGTCTGCTTGATTCCCTTTTTCACTTGTTTTAGACAATTGATCACTGACTTTGACAGGAGCATAAGGCGCGCTACTTTTCTTTTACAACCTTCTGGTTTTTCCAAGCTATTTTGAAGCAGGTGCACTTGTCGTTAAGTGTCTGTTGTGTGAATAGACTCTGAAGTGAAAAGGTTGCTTGACTTCAGGGATGTGCAAACTTTTTTTTCTTCTACAGAATGCCAGATTGAATATGCAAACTCATTTTTTTCAATTGGTAATTTAAACCAAATGGATTACGTACTTCAAGATGGTTCTCTCTTTCAAAAACACCAGGAAAATAGGAGATAAAAAGAAAAGTGCTTTCATTTCTGATGACTGAATTGTTAGTCGACGGATAAATATTAAATTGTATCACAAACAAATTCCAAAAAATGTCTAATTTACAGTATAGTATTTACATGTAGATGTTTAAAGGATACATATTGTGAATCAGCTGAAATGTATCAGTATCAGCTATAAGAAATCACATAACAAAAAAGTTGCTTTGGAAAAAATCCTTAACACTTCTCACAACAGGTGAAGGAAGCCAACAACCAAAACCCGAATAATGTTTTATTAAAAAAAAAAAGGATAAAGTTGAATTGGACATAAACGTAATTATTATTATTATTATGGTTAAAACAGTGAAAACTAGCTAGAATACACAACACGTTTCATCAATGAAGGCAAACAGTAACTGACAAACAGTAACAAAAGGAATAACAGGGAGTTAGAACAATGCCTTCAACTCCCTGAAACTACTGCACCTGCCTGGAGCAGATAAAGCAGCGTACGACATGACATCATCAGTCAGGGTGCACCTGTACACACACACACACACACACACACACACACACGCATACATACACTTACAAGCATACAGGCGCGCACACACAGTGAGTGGTGGCAGCCAGGAGATCTCTTGGGCATGTAGGGTCAGTCATTAATAAAGAGCACCAGATGGTTTGTCTGGAGCACAACTGTGTTGAATAGCCACAGGAGGGATGGATGGAGAAGGAGATGGAGGAGGAAGCCTGAGGAGGCCTAAGAAGGAGAACGATGGGGTGAGGAAGGATTACGGAGAGGAAGCACAGCTAAGAGGTAAAGGTTAGGTAGATGGAGGGAAATCATTTGCTTAGGGACATGTCCAGTGGAGGCCCCCGCAGGAGCACCATCCTTAAAATCTGACTTGCCACCTCAAGCGCTCACTTACAAATGTGGCAGCTCGTACGTTATGAGGACGTGGTTTGAACTTTTTGTCCGTGGAGGATGCGGTGACCTCACATTCTTGAAGGTGTACTTTAAATACACAGTTTCTCCAGCTGTTTGATTCAAAAGCCAACCCTGACTGATGAAATAAACCAATGATGAAGGTTTATACTGACATACGGCAGCACAGAACAACATCATTCCAGAAATCATGTGTGTGTAGAGCAGACAGTAAAGTCAAGTCACTCTCTCTCTCTTGCTCTCCCTCCCTCCCCCCCTCTTTATCTCAGCCCTATTTATATATTTATTATTATTTTGTTGCAATAAAAACAAAAAAATAAGTTTCTTTAAAATCCGCAACAAGACAGCAGGGAACGCCTATAGCTGCGCTGCGTGTCTTCCTGCAACAAGGTCCAGGTGTTTTGTACAATCCCTGGCTCTATCTTATTAACTCGTGTAATAGATGATGTATGAGAGGACGCAGGAGCAGATGTAAAGAAACCGGGGACCACAGGGATGGAGGGAGGTAAGGGAAGACGTGGAGAATAGAGGGATGTAAATGCTATTAGCTTGGATCTCCGTAATCATCCCCAGGTGACTGGAACTTAGCCTTGATAAATGGACTCACCGGATGCATGTGTGTTAGGATGTCTGTTGGTATATAAGCAGTTCAAAATGAGCAGCTGCAGGAGAGCGTCGAGAAAAAAAGTGATAAAGATGAAGATTAGCTCTAGTTGGGCAGTGTTTTTAATTTCCCCAGGTTGTAATTGGTTAGGAACTTCATTACCCATGAGGCAGCAGTGCTGCAGCTGTCAACTTGAAACAGCTGGCCGACCACTGGTAGCTCCGTCCTCTTGCTGTACCATCATTTATCTATGCCTGGAGCGTGCATAGACACAAGTGTAAGCGTACACCAACGCTTAGGTGCTCACATACGTTCTCTTCCCCGTCTCCCTGTCTCTTATGAGGACACCTAGTCCCTCTGTCTCATCATCAGGGGAGACACTAATGCCTGACTAAAGGCAGTCTAACAGGTATTAAAGTTGAGTTAATGGTTAAGTTGTTCCCTGAGACCAGGTAGGTGTGAACATGATTAATGACCCGACCTGCTAATAATGGAAATGTAACACAATGCACTTTCTGGTCACAGTAGAGCAGAGTGACTACTCCGACTACAGACGTTTCTGAGACATTTGAAGGGCATTTTTTCCAAGTGATAATGTCAAAAATCTGAGGTTTCACCGAAATTTTCAAAATGCTGTTTGATGGTTGAAAACCCCTAACAAAACTAAATGAAGCTCACTGCTGGAAAAAGATATACTATTAATTTATTTGTCTTAGAACCTTTTGACTGATGATTTTTACAGTTTTCACATTAGGTTCAGTTGTGGTGACATCTATTAGGAAACAAAAGTCAGAGGCCTACAGATGATTGCCGTCGTGACCGGTTGCTGTGTGGCTTTAGGGTTAGTGTTCATCCCAACGACTCACAGAGATGTCGACAGACTCACATTCTGCCCAAGGTTTTTGTCCTTTTCAGAGCAGTAGAACAAACACAGATATGCACGGGCAGATGCCGTAGGTGAAAGC